CCTTGCTGGAGGAGGTGTGGCCTTGCTGGAGGAGGTGTGTAGCTAGAGGTTTCAAAAGCCCACACCAGTCCCCTCCCCTCTCTCCTGCATGCAGATCAGGATACAAAGCTCTCAGCTACTGCTCTAGCACCCTGCCTATCTGCTCCCTGCCGTGATGATCACCGACTAAGTCTCTGACACTGTAAGTAAGCCCCCAATTAAATGCTTTCTTTTATGAGAATTGCCTTGGTCATGATCTCTCTTCACAGCAATAGAACAGTAGTTACTTTTTGTGTCACTGTGACCAAATACTTGACAGAAACAGCGTAATTAAAGAAAGGTTCATTTTTGGCTCACAATTTCAGAGATTCGATTCCTTGCTCTGCAGGAAAGGCAGAGCAAGCCCCTTACTGGTAGTGGCAGAAGCATGTGGCAGAGACTGGATCCCATGACAGCAGACATTACTTAGAGAACACAGGCCCGACACAGGGGTGGATCTACTCTTCAAAGGCCTGCTATTAGTGGCCTATTCCCACCAACGAGAGCCCTCCTCCTAAAGGTTCCACAGCTTTTAAAATGCCACCAAGATCTAGGGATCTGTGGAGATGTTCCAGATTCAAAGTATAATTATAGCCAACCCACAAAGCATCATTTTTGCTTGGTCTCAATCCCAAAACCCAGACAATGGTTTGTGGGGCGTTTACCCACCACCCCCACAGCTCCCCAGAGATTTCTTGAGTGCGAGCAGCAGGAAATATTAGATAGAAGGATTTATAGCGGAGAATCTTGCGGAGATAAACAGATAGAAAATAAAGGATAGCCTCGAGAGGGCCTGGAACCTATTCCAAAGGGCCCAGACTGTCTCTGGCCCAGGGTTTTTATAGAGACGCCAAGGGGTGGAGCAAAAGACCTCCTCCCCCAGCACAGCCAAGTGCAGGCCATCTCAGACACCTGCACTCAGGCCCGTGGTCCTAATCATCCTCTATTCGGACCTGCTGGGTAAAGCCACGAGGAACCCCAGAACGGGCTCCCACAATGGCTGAGCTTTTTGTGTCCTTCTACTCTTATGTGAAGTGCTGAGATTTCTCATCAATCATGAAACCATTTGCAGAGTGGCAGTGGTTACCAGCCACCACTAGACTTCTTTTGGGAGCCTTTAGAGAACACTTTCTAACCAACCCATCCACTTTATAAGCACTTGAAGTACAGTCTCCCATCTTCTGAAGTTTCCAACATCAGGATGTGCTGGGAATGGGTCTGTGGCTGCCATCCAGCTAGTCCACAGAACCTGGTTTAGGGAGGAGGGGGTTGCACATTGATGAAATAGACAAGCTTCCCTTTGTTTCCTGTCTCTCTTAAATACTTGGCCATGTCTCTGCTGATGCTGAAAAGGCCATTGGAACCTCGCTGCATTTCCCTCCCCCCAACATCCTCCCACTTCCTTCCACACACTGCCTCCACCGGGGTGCTCGTTTCCTACCTACTTAATTTCTTAGTTTTCTGATCTTTCATTCGACACAAATCACATCAAGCTCTCCCTATAGTTCAGGTGTTGATCTAGCCATGAAGATGACCCCCCCAAAAAAAAAGGAACCCAGTGGCACTGTGGCATCAGTTCTCTTTAGCTGTGTGACTATACTTAGCACCCCATTCCCAAAGATAACTTCCTATAGCTTTAGAAGAATATGACCTCCATTGATGATGTTTATTCCAAATTAGTAAGAGTAGCTTTGGCGTCTTGGCGTCAGAGTCCTGAGACACAGATGGTCTTTGTGATGTTTTTCCCAGTTTCCATGGTGGCAGAGGGGAAGGTTGGCACTCAGCCAGCAGAGGCAGGAGGGCATGATCACCACAGTTGATAAGGCCGAGCAACAGTCACAAGAGTCTTCCCATGTTGACCTGGAACTGGCTAGATGATCATAAGCCCAGAAATAAAAAAGTTAAATCCTTGGTTATTCTATGCAAGCAAAAATGTTCTGGGGCAAGTGAGTGGAGGTCTAACCTAAATTGTAAAAGTCATTATCATAGCCACTGATCAACTTCCAGACTTGAGCCAGTTTACAGACTGCAAAACCCTCAACTGAAGGAGATTCTAGGTCCTCTTGAGGACCCCAGTAAACTGCCCCAAATATATACTGTGAGTCTTTTTCCTCACTTCCCTAAAGCAGTTCTACAATCTTTACAAGGATAACTGTGCTTTGGGGAAGGGAAAAGATTAAAGCTTTGGCAAACCGCAGGACTTTGGCTCTGAGCTGACAGGAATCCCAGGAGAATCCTGCATCACTGTGGTTCACCAGTGAGAGAGGTTAAGTGGTCCATGGGTCTTGGCGAATGACAGTGTATTATCATAAGCTTAACCAGGCAGTAAACTCCAGTTGCAGCTGCTGATTCAGACGTGGCTTCACTGTCTGAGCCATTGAACTCATCCCCTGGGAGCTGATATGAGTGTCTTGACCCAACAGATGTCTTTCTTCATCCCCGGCAAAGAGATGCACAAGAAAGCAGTGTACTTAATCTGGTAAGGCCACCAACACCTTCACTACCCAACTCCAGCCCTGTGTCATGAAATGGTTAATGGGGACCTGGAGCACCTTTCTTTCCCAAAAGATCACATTGATCCATTACACTGTTGACATCATGCTGACTGGACACAGCAATTCTTGACAAGGTTTCTCTGTGCAGCCCTGGCTGTCCTGAAACTCACTCTGTGGACCAGGCTAGCCCCAAACTCAGAGATCTGCCTGCTTCCACCTCCCAAACACTGGGATGGAAGGTGTGTGCCACCACCGCCACCGCCCGGCACAAATATTTTAATGGGAAGCTAGAGAAATGGCTCAGTGAACAACAGTGTTGGCTGTAAAAGTAAGAAGACCCGAGTTCAAATCCCCAGCAGCCACATAAAAGCTGGGCATGGCCACATATGCCTGTAAATCCAGTGTTAGAGGGCAGAGACAGATGGGTCCTGGCAACTTTCTGGCCAGCCAGCCTAACTAAAATGACAAGCTTCAGGGTCAGTGAGAAAACCTGTCTCAAAAAAATAAGGTGTAGAACAACAGAGGATGACACTCAAAGTCCTCTGGCACTTGCATGTGCATATGTGAATATACCACACACGTTCTCGAGTGTCAAGTGCACACGTGTGTATACACACACGGGGGGGGGGGAGGGGTTGTAACAACTCTGTCAGTAACACACTTGCGTGTCAGAAGTTACAAACTAAACCCAACAAGCTTTCTCCCACCCGTGAAATTTCGGGGGCTCTAGTGGTGCAGACCTTGTTGAGATGTCCCTCTGTGGCTGAAGGTAAGTTGCTACATCTGGGACTTCCTGTGTGGGGCTCTCTCAGAGGACCCACGTTGGACTGGTGAAGGAACATGGTCTTCCATCAGGTATATCACTCTTGCTGACTTCCCAGGTGACGCAAAGCTGTTAGTGTTGAGTGAGGTCCAGAACACAAGAAGAGGCTGTCTGTAATGGGTCCGGGACACTGTGCAGGCTATTCTGCTTCTTGGACTGCTTGTGACCCTGTGTGATGGCTAGTCCTGGTTGTCAACTTGACTGCATCTGGAATTAACCAAAACTCAAGCAGCTGGGTACACCTGTGACAGTTTTGTTGTTGTTGGTGTTTTTTAATAATTGAATTATTTGAAGTGAGAAGATCTGAACCTTCTGAGGTAGGAAGATCTTCCTTAAATCTAGACCACACCTTCCGGTGGCAGCATGTGTGTGTGTGTGTGTGTGTGTGTGTGTGTGTGTGTGTGTGTGTGTGTGTGTATTCATTCTATCAGTTTTGTTCCTCTAGAGAACCTTCATACATTCATATATACATATATACTATTCGTGTGCCAGTGGCAGACAAGAATGTTCTTTAGGGCCTTGGCAAGCCCTATTTGTAGTCAGCATAGACCTTTGGGATTTTGCAGCAAGACTCTGCTGTCTTCTACAGGTAACAACTACTCCTGCCTTATGAAACACCTCTTGAACAATCACTGGGCCTGAGTAAATACTGAGTGTTTAACTACGGCACTCAGTTACTGTAAGACCTGAACTGCCCGCCGTGAACTGGGTGTTGTCTGATCCTCCAGACCATAAAGTTGAGCATGCTCCAGTACTTCATCATCAAGCAGAAGTGGAATGTATGAGATCAAGCCCGAGCAGGCCTAGAAGACATACGGAAACTATATGAAGAAATGGCCCAAATGTCCATGGGTCTCTCTTGCTGTGTTGCTTCTTCTCTCCCAGCTGTCCCTAGGGCCTCACGGAACTCCCCTGCTGTCTCCTGACAGTGGAACAGAAATTCAGGTCTCCTTTATAAGGTCTTCTTTATAAATGGTGCTTTGTAACGTGTGAGGCCCACCTTAAAGAAGGCGGCTGTGGCCCCATGGCCCTCCTGAAGGGACATCTCTGAAGGACAGTGGTAAAAGAAAATCCTCCCAGCTCTTCAAAAAGGAGAATTGCCAGACATGTAGTTACATGAAGGATAACTAATAACTTGGCTGGATGATCAGAGAATTGAGAAAAAAAGATTATAAAATTGGAGACAAAGAAATGGATGGGCAAATCCATCTTATGTACATCCTGGATGAATGCTCACTAAAGGTGATCTTAGCAGAGGAAGGTTTGACAACTCAGGTGGATAGCTGATCTTCCCCATGAATACCCGTCAGCTTAAAGCCAGTCCCATTCTGTCAAATTGGTCGATGAACAAACGACTGTGGTGGCCGATGTGTCAATTATTCGTGGGCTTAGCAACCACGGCCAGCACTGAACATCAGTAGGAGCCATTCCTTTGGGGCGATTAGTGAGCTAACTCGCGATAGGTGGATTACACCGGGCAGCTTCCATCATGGACAGGACAACTTTTTGTTCTATCAAAACAGAACTTTGACTCTGGATGTGCATTTGCCTTCCCCACATGCAGTGCGTTCACCCAAACTCCCATTTGTGAACTTACGGAATGCCTCACTCACCGGCAGTGGCATGCCAGGCAGCATTGCTTGCGATCCAGAAACTCACCGCATAGCAAAGCAAGTGCAGCCACGGGCCATGCTCATGGAATTTACCAACTGTTTTCCCACCATCCTAAAGTAGCTGGCACAATAGAGCCATGGAGCCACCCCTTTGAGAACTCACGAGAGAACAATCCTTTGCCGAGCCGGGACAAGGTTCTCCACGAGGTTGTACGCGCTCTGAATCAGCGGTGCTGTTTTCTGAAAGCCGGGCTTCAAGGGTCCAGGAGTCAAGGGGTGGGGAAGGGAGTGGCACCATTTGCTATAACCTGGGGTGACTCACTTGCAAAATTTGCTCCTTCTGTCTGTGGCCTTTGCTCTGCTGGCCAAGAAATCTTGATGCCGAAAGGGGAAAATGTTTCTACCGGGAGGCAGAACAATGGTGGCATTGAGCTGGAAGTTCAGACTGCTGCTGGCCATTTTGGAACTCTCGTACCTGTGAATTGACAAAAGGGATTACAGGTGGTTAGGGTCACCAGTCCTGTCAAGGAGAAACTCTACTCATCTCTTCTCAATGGTGGGAACACATTCAGCAAATTCAATGAGCATGGCCCCTGGGTTGGCCCACTTATTTTGCTGTGAGTTTCTTGATTGCAAGCAATGCTGTGCCTGTGCCATGGCAGGTGAGTGAGGCGTTCTGCAAGTACACAAAGAAAATCTCCGCAGCAGAGGCAAGGAAAGTCTGTCTAGAGGACAGGGGATCCTTCTGTCTCATGAGAAAGGATCCGGGGCTGTAGCTCCCTTGGAAGAGCCCTTACCTAGAGTGGACAAAGCCCTGGGTTCAGTCCCCAGCACAACATACATTGGGCATGATGGTGCACACCTCTAACGGCAGCACTTGAGAACTGGAGGCAGCAGAAGGGTCACAAGTTCAAAGCCCTCTTCTGCCACATAGTGAGTTTGAGGCCAAAGGTAGGCTACGTGAGAACCTGCCTCAAAATGAAACAAAATAAAAATTTTAAAAAGGAAGAAAGAAGAAAACTATGATAGCCCAATCCAGGAAAGCCTATTAATGTGGAAATGCCTCTGTGATGAAGGTCTGGGACACTCCGCCAGGTCAGTAACTATGACAGAGGACATGCTTGCTGAAGGCAAAGGGAATGCAGAAGAGGAAGAGGCAGATAGCCTCGTCAGGCGTGACCACATGGCCAGTTACGGACATGAGGGCTGTAGCTGTCACCAGCACTTCCTCCTCCCTGTCACAAATATGTGCATACACGCCAGTCTTATCAATGAAGGCTTCTAGAGCAAAGAACAACAGAGCGGGTGCCTTATAGGCAATAAAGTGCCCGTCTCACCGCTCTGGAGACTGCAAGTCCAAGGTCAGAGCACCAGCATGGTCAGATTCTGCGGAGCGCCCTTTTCCAGACTGCACTCTGCCAACTTCGCCCTGGTCTCTCTGACGGCAGAAAGAAAACTCTCCGGAGTTTTTCTTATAAAGATACTAATCCTTTCACGACCCACTTACCTCCTAATGCCTTCATACTCAGAGTTGGGATTCCAACATTCAAATTTGGGGGCAGCCACTAAATTAAACTCTCCTCTCTCTTTCTCTCTCTCCCTCCCTCCCTCCCTTCCCTTCTCCCCTCTCCCCATTTCTCCCTTTTCTTAGTCCCTTACCTTGTAACAAACGCAAAGTGTACACCACAGCACGCACTAATTTTATGTCTGGTATTTAAGTCAAGGTATGTACCAAGGAGAGTTGGTACTATAGGATTCCGTTTATATGGCATTCTGGAAAATTCAGGGAAGGAAGGAAGAGTGGATAAGAAAGGCTTGACAGAAGAAAGCAGGGACTCCTGTAAGCAGCATGTGAGATCCTTAAATGAACCAAGCAGCCCAGAGATTACTCACCCCAACCCTCCTGACAGATGTCTGTGGTTTCTTTAACTTACCCACCAAACAGGAAGGGAGAGAAATCTCAGCTTCCCAATGGTTCAGACAAAGGGCTTAACTTTAAAATTAAGTTAAGGTTAGGTTCTGTGTTGGAAGAGGAGTCATTTTTTTTTTTTTTTTTTTTTTTTGTAACATATCCTTACAACACAGATGACCACTGGCAGCAAACGCCAGCTAGAGGTCTTGTAGTTCAGTTTGACACGATTTCCTAGGGACAGCATGAGATCCCGCAGCTGAGACTCAGCCCCCAGGATTCTCTCCTTGACTCCCAAATGTCAGTCATGGGCTCCGGCTGCTTGACTGCTGCTTTTCATTGGCTGGCTATTGAATGGGTTTCCACACCTGCCCTGTGAATTAATTTGTGTAAGTTCACAGAACTCGGGGACACATCATTTACCAGTGTAGTATAAAGGACGCTACAAAGGACACAAATGAAATGTCCCAGGTTTGGGGCTCCCAGATCTCTCTGGGGCCACCACACCCCAGCACCTGCCATGTGTTCAGTTGGCACGAAGCTCCTGTCCTTTGGATTTGCTGGGCATACACGAGGCAGAGGGAACCGCACTGAAATGTGACCGGGCAAGAAGTGTATGGCCTAGCATTAGTGGGTTGGGGTGAAACACCAGCAAGGCCTGTCCAGATTCTTCTTGATCTCTGGGATGGCATTCTTCTCTCCAGTTTGTGGGGAAGCACCGCTCTAAAAGGAACAGGTCTATGACTATCAGACCAAGAGAGTTAAGCGAAATAACATGGCTAACCCAAGAGAGAGCGTGCAGGGGAGGAGGGTACACTTCCATAATTTAACTTGAGTAAGAGATGTTCTAGTTTGTAGGGCCTGCCTTGGGGAGGGTTAATTCAGAAACCATGCATTAAAACCAAAAACGAAATATATTACCCTCTTAACATCATTTTCTCTATATGCTTCCTAAAATATTACAGGGTAGTAAGAGACCAGTGAAGGAGTATTTATTGTCTGCCTGACCGGCTTCTCTTCCAAAGCCAGCCATTGAGTCAGGAGGCCACCAACTAGGCTCAACTACGTCTGTGAACTCACAGCTTGCAGACTTCCAGGCTGCAGAGTAACCGGCAAAGCTGGTCCCACACCTGTTCGTATGACCTCCGAAGGGACTCTATGTGCACTCTCCACTTGCCCCTCTACCTAACAGCAGGATGTCTCAGCTGAGCTGGGTCAGCGTCCTTCTGGTCTACTGTGGGGCTAGTGGCTGGTGCCCACTGAGGTGGTCTGAATGAGAAATGTCCCTCACGATTTCAGACATTTGGACACTTGTTTCCAGTTCAGGTGCTGTTTGGGGGTGGGGGTTAGATGGTGTGACCTTGCTTGAGTAAGTATGTCACCTGGGGGGGGGGATTTGAGATCATATAACCTCACCTTACTTCCAGCTCCGGTTCATTTTTGTAGTTAGAAATATGACCTTTTGGCTCCCTGCTTTGGTCACCATGACTGCCCACCACCATGACTCCCTGCCACGATGGAATCTTATTCCTCTGGAACCATAAACCCAAATAAACTCTTTTGTCCATGAGTTATTTTTGGTCGTGATATTTTATCTCGGTAACAGAAAATAACCAGTAACTCCTGATTTAAGAGTTCACACTCAGAGGTCCCCATATTCCTCAATCTGTAACTTTCTACTTTTTGGACCCTTCTACACCCTCTTAGCAATTTCTCATGGAGATCCTGCCTAATACACATTGAAGTTTCGTAGTTCCACCGAGAACCTGAAAAGCAGCCTTGAGGTGGAAGAGTAGACGCGAAGGGCCCGTGAGCACCGAGACACCGGAACAGGCTGCTGGGAGAGGTGTGTTATTTCCGTCATGATTTCAGACTATCAAAGGATTACAGCCTCACCCAACCCTCGCTCTCAGGATGGAATCCAAAAGAGCCACCACAAGTCAAGGGACACAAATGGATGACTAAGTGGAGGGAACGAAACAGGCAGTGTGGCTTGGGAAGCTGGCCCCTCTTCAGGGACGCAGTTCGGTGGCAACAGGGACAGCTGCAGCTTCCTCCTCACACAATGCATTCTAACTTCTGAAGAGCACACGTTTGTAATCCTAGAACTTCACAGTGGGGTAATCCCAAGATGTCACCGTTACAAAGTTTAATGAAAGGAGACACCCAGAGCCTGGAGAGAGAGCTAACTTTCCCACAACCCAGACTCACCACACACCTTTTTTTTTTTTTTTTCAGAGTGCCTTCAAAGGAATTTCTTTGAGCACCAAACACATTTCTTTTAGAGATGGGACTTTTACGTGTTCTTTACAATTTTCCAATGATTCTCAGTTTTTGTATTTCAGTTTCCAGCTCTCAGCACGGCCTACATAGCCCGACTTCTAAAAACGTACTTCTTTGCTGCTAAAGTGATTGGAGAGTAAATGCCAGAAATGAATTCCAACCAGGAAGAAATGAAACGTTTCTGCCAAAAGTAGTGTGCATGCCCTTGTTTGGGTGGTCCTCTGCCTCACAAGCTTTGGATGGGGTCATTTCCACACGGGTCATCTGTTGTCTTTCTGGCTGACAAAACTAACTGCAAAGACAAGTCATTTCTAACGGAACTGGAACACTTTGCCCTGAATTCCTGTTTAGAAGTTACTTTTCTTACAAAGATCTGGAGACACAAGAGTTTAGTATGAAGTAACACACGTGTGCATGCATACACACGCATGCACATTACAGCATCCATGAAAAGTACACACCGTGCCTTTGTCAGGCACAAACAGATCATGCACAGTGCCAACTCTCATTTCTGTAAACCTGGGTTTGACCCAATGTTCTTCATCTATTTCCTTAAAAAAAATTCATTAACAAACTATTTTGTGTATGAGTGTTGGTGCATCATGTGCATGCTTGACCTGGTGCCTGGAGAGGCCAGAACACATCAGATCCCCTATAACTGGTGTTAAAGACGATTGGGAGCCACCATGTGGATGCTGGGAATTGAACTTGTTCTCTGGAAGAGCAGCCAGTGCTCTTAACCACTGAGTCATCTCTCCAGTCCTGTTTTTTTAGCTTTCTCAACAGGGTCTCAAATTGTAACTCAGGCTGGCCTGAAACTCAGTACAATCCTGCCTCAGCCTCCCAAGTGCTTAGAGGCATGCATATCACCATGCCCAGTCATAAAAACTCTGGAGCAGTGGTTCTCAACCTTCCTAATGCTGCAACCCTTTCAGTTCATGTTGTGATGACCCCAACCATAAAATTATTTTTGTTGCTACTTCATAACTGTAATTTTACTACCATTATGAATCATAAGGCCAATATTTTTGAAGACAGGTTTGCCAAAGGGGTTGTGACCCACTGGCGAGAACCATTGCTCTAGAATGAATTTCGTGCATGGTGCTGTAAACCAAGGCCTTGTGCATGCTGGGCAAGTACCCTACCTCCAAGCTCTATCTCCAGCCTCAGTTTTTACCTTGTGTCCCATCCCCAGCTCTTCCGGCCTAAAAAAGTCCTTGACAACCACCTTGCAACTGTCTTCCCCGTCTGTCTGTCTGTCTACAATGCACCACAGCG